AGCCACTTAAGATTTCTAATTAAAACATGTTCTCATAAAATGCTGCAAACTAAGTTAGAAAAACCTGATGGACACATAAAAAAACATCTTCATAAAAATATCAAACTGAAATAATTTTGTCTGAAACGAAATAAACTATTTTAATGTTATGTCCACTGAGATTCCTTCCTGTTCGGTTCTTTTTCCAGCCTGAACATCTTTTATTTATGTTTCTTTTCCATTTGACATTTTATGTTTGCACTAGTGTTTCTTCTTCTTCACTTTCCTGGTCTGACCTCATTGCTTCCTTCTCCTCCCCTCCATCTTCAGCTCGCCTCCTTGTGTTTGGGTTTTTGAGTGCTGCTATATTTTCTGCTGAGCACTGCAGTCTCTGTTAGGTGTGGTTTGATGCATTCATGGGTGTCCTCCCTCACCCCCTCCCTCCCTGTCGGCTGCTGCTGCTGTCGAGCTTACGTAACACACAGCAACGTGTACAAACAAGCAAAAGGGGGGAAACAGAGGAATGCGATGAGAGCGACCATGAAATAATCTCATTGAGGTGATGACAGATCAGGAGAAAACAACACGTGTTTATAAGCTGAATGTGCAAATAGCTGGAGGAAACGCGGACTTTTCTCTGCAAACACAGCAATGCCTCACTTCAGAGCATTAAAATTAAACTTAAAAGCCAGATATAGTTGAAAATGGCACACAGTATAATGATAAGATTGATCCAAACAAGGGTAAAACCTTGCAAAAAGTTTCTATCAGTCCAGACAATTAGTTTGCTGCAGAAGATCTGCTCCGCTCCACCCTTGGGTTTAAAAACTCTGCAGTACTGCAGGATGGGGCCTAAAAAAAGAGAGAGGAAAAATGTCTATAAAATGAATGTTTTGCCCGTAGAGAAAACCACCTACGCTTCAGTCCTCTTCACTCCCGAGTGGGTGGAAGCTTCTCTGCACCGGCAGCACCTCCTCAGCCTTTTTCTCCTGCTGAGCACCATTCACACGTCTCACATTCTGCTGACCCTTTTAACCCCCGAGACAAACAAGAAATGCATGACTGGAAGAAACCTGCAGGTTGTCAACATGGTGAAAACCTGGAGAACAAGGTTCAGAGATGAAATAAGACTTTCAATAAAAAGCAGGTGCATAAAAATGACAGAAATCATGCAGAAAGGGAGAAATAACATATTGGCTGTTTTATTATTGCAGAAATGGTGTCAAAATATTTTTATATATGATTTTTTTAGTGCAACCACGATTTTGAAAAAGTTGGGATGTTGTGGAAATTGTGRAAAAAAACAAAAAATCTCATAAAACTATTTTATTCTCATCGTTTCTCAACATGAAGATGATCCTTTCCTGAATCTCTGAAAGTCGATGTGCTTTTCTTTAAGGAAAGTATGAAGCTTTAATCTTTAGAGCAACCAAAAAAACATCTCTTTGCTCCCATTCCTCTGCTTTTCAGCTGAAATCACATTTTTTCTCAGTACATTTAATTCACTTTAGTGCTGAACATAAAAGAAGCAGCTTCTCCCTCTGACAGACTGAACTGCCTCCCATCACCAGATTAAAAATGCATTTCTTCTCTTTTTGAGCACTTTTTTTTATCGCCATGACATCATTAGCTGCACCAACCTCCAAAGTAATGGAAGTTTGGACCTCCCGGCCGTTTCACTTTGATTAATTCTACCCTCCTCTGTGGGAGTTTCCCCCTTTTCTTCCTTCCTATTGATATTCTGGACACGCTGTGATGTAAAAGCAGCGATATGTTGAAAAAGTCCTTTCATGCTGTCCTCATCTCTTTCTTCGGTGTATGAATACTTTATCGATCTGAGGGCTAAATTTGTTTTGCAGATAGCTGCAGAAACTTGGCACGGACGCTGGTCTTTTCAGCTGAGCTAAAAGGAAAGATGGGAGGATCAGGAGAGTCATAAAGAGAGACTGGGGTCAGAGCTTTTTGTCAAGGCAACACTTAGCTGCTTGAAATCTGCAGAGATGTTTGAGCAAATCATTTCTACTTCACAAAATATAACCATAAGCATCAATAAAGAGGAAAGTACTCCTCACATATAAAACTCTACATGTTCTGCATTACATGTTTAATTGTTCCTGCATGTAACCTACAGCTGAATGCAGTCTTTTGAAGATTGCTGATTCAGACATCCTGGAAACATGACACCCTCAGTTTACACAACAAACATTTATTTTCTCCTACTCAGATAAAACATTGGATTCAATAAATGTGTGAAAAAATCCAAATGTTTTCATAGGAGAAGAGTATTTTAGCAGCTACCCCATCAGTGAAACAGCAGCTCCAGTGTTGTATGAACTTCTGACGCTGTGACCTGTGCAGGTGAATCCCTCTGRGACTGAGGTGTTTTTCCGAGTGTCGACCGGCACCAGAAACTGCATCCTGCCTGGRTTAATGCTGGAACACTTTCCAGCAACTTCCTCCTGGGAAACAAACACCAGCAGGAGTAAACAGCTCCAGCTGTATGGAGCTCAACTGCGGTCATAAGTTCTGTTAAAAAAAAAAAATTGAAACTGAAAAAAGGATATTTGAAAATGAAATTTGAAACTGAAAAAAGGATATTTGAAAATGAAATTTGAAACTGAAAAAC